TACGTATGACCCACCGAGAATAACTTGATGTTGGCTAAAGTTTACTACCAAAATGCTAGCACTAGTTATTCTTAGGCATTGGGCTTCTCTATTTAAGCTAGTAACATTTCTTTACACTAGTTCATGTAGGACTAAAGTTGGGGTGTCACAGTTTCACTTCAAAACTTTTTATCCTTTTTACTTTTTCTAGAATCGAAAATTTATTTGTGGAAATGTAGAAAATAGAAGGAATACAAAAAAAAAAAAAGATATTGTCAAGTCAATTGCTTTTCATGTGATATGCTTATGGATATCTTTTGGGCACTTCTTTTCAAACCCAAAATTCATAGAAAATATTATGTTTGGATTCATAGAAAATATTTACTGGCTAGGACATAGGTTTTCTCATGATTAGTCCCGTTGTTTCGGGCCTAACGCCTAATGTACTACCTCTTTTTTTTTTTTTTTTAATATGTAAATCTCTTTTATTTTTACTGTCAACACACTTTGATGATAGCTCACAGCATTTTCTGTCTCATACTTATATATTTGTTTCAAGTTAACTGCAAATACCCCCATTAAACAATGACTGTGGTCATGTATTATGCCTCCTAAATTATCTATTACCGCACATAATTTAGTGGGTTTATAAAGTTAATGATATATATTATATAGTATATATATTTATATATAATATATATATAATATAATATAATATATATTTATATATATATATATATATATACTATTATTATATTATATAGTTAATATGAGTAGTATGGCTTGTAATCAAAAACCCCAATTTTGTGATTTGGTAGTGATGCATGACACAATCTCTCCTCACTTATTCAAATGCGGCACCACATTCACATGGTTATGGAGTGTTATGTGGCAACTAGTTCAACCATTGTGTAAATAAGTGAATAGTGAATCGATTAATGTCACACCTCACTACTGGAGCATAAAACTTTTGTGTTTGGTACAAACTTTGGTACCATTTTCTCATAATATATATATTATATATTCCTACTATAGTATAATATAGATACTTAATATCATATTATATATATATTAGTATATATATATATACATTAGTATAAATATATAGTATTATATACAATCAGTTAGTGGCAGAGGTGTGACGACGTGCATATATCCAATGGCCTGATGGTATTTCTTTTCTAACAGACTACACAAAAATCTATTTTTAATTTTTTGGATGCAGCGCAATATTCAAATGAGAATAAATTAAGCTGTGCCATCTTTATTTATTTTCGTACAAGTTGGACTTATCTCATCTGGCTATATCAACTTTTGATATCATATCCTTGCAAATCACATGTCTTTATAGCTCTTCATTTCTTTAACATGCAACGTATAGGTTGGTTGCTGGATCGACGAAATTCTATTTTAAATTATTGAGTCCAACATGATTAGATCTAGAACTCTACTGTGGGAAGAAATATAGTCTTTTTAAAATCACTAAATAATAATATTTCTTATAAGTTCTAAAACAAATAAGTTGAAAAATTCCAATTTATTTCCCCCCTACTTAATTATAAGAACAAATAAGTGAATAAGTAAAATTTATCAAATGTTTAGATTTTGGATTCTTATAAGTAGAACCACAACTTTTTTGGATTCTTACAAGTAGAAACACACTTTTCTGAGTTAGGCAAAATGCTAAAAGAATTATTTTATTGAAGGAAATAGATATAAAAAATATATATGGAGAGGCAGGAAGAAAAGAGATTCCCCGTGTATGTGGCTTCACTACTCTGATTATTTTAATTTTGGATCCTCCTTGCAAATCACGTCCTACTACTTAGCTTTTTATTAACAACAACCGCTGTGCCTCTTAGAAAACTTATTAATTGTCATCTTCTCAAAATGTAACTAATTAATAATTATTATTATTTTTTCAAAATAAATAAATCACTTCCAACGCTTTCTCTAGGCAATGTGTTACACGGGATGGAATATTTAATTTCTTACAGAAGAGGTGGGCATGTGCGTAAATAAATTAGAAACTAATTGTTGACCTGTTGACCCTTATAACCATCTGGCATATATATACGTGTGCTTTGAACTTGCAATAAGAAACACACAGTACTCAATCTCTTCCCATAACTTGATCTCCCCATAACTAATTTTTCCATTTGGAGAAGAGAAAAAAAAATGTCGAACGCATGTCTGAATGCATTTGGTAGTTTGGTGTCGTACCGTATTTCGTCACCATCGCTTGGCGCTTATAAGCGTCTGGATTTATGCGGCAACTCCTTTAACAAGAAGGTCAGTTTATTTTTCTTGTGTAAATTGATTTATTCTTCATATGAAGCTAGCTACATTTCAGAGTGATTTACATTTCTGTAAACGTGCAGAAGCCTCTGAGGACCGTATCCGTGCACAACACGAATACTGAACCGTTGCAGGCGATAGTTCTGAGCTATCCAACAGAAACATCAACACAGAATGAACCACGACAGACCTTAGAATATCATCCTACCATTTGGGATGAAAACCTCATCGAATCGATTCACAGCCCTTATGCAGTAAGTTATTCGATGACATGGTAAATCATCATAATTATTATATGAAAAAACGCTTGAAATATTGGTTTTAGGCTCGTTGTAGCTAACTCCAATGGCTACAAAACCACTTCCGCAGTCATAATATTGTCTGATAATATTAGAACAATGGCTATAATCTATCCTAAATATAACTAAGAACGTATCGTGCCTCAAAGTACGTAGTCCCTGTGCCTAATTTCCATCTACAACATGGCTACTGATCAATCTCTCCGGTCTCTATCATCTCTTAATTAGGATGGTGCATTCAACACAAGGATTGAGGAGCTCAAGGTTGAGGTCAAGCACTTGTTTGGCGTTGCTTATGATACGGCGGATGAGCTTGAACTCGTCGACAAGGTCCAACGGCTAGGCCTTGCCTATCAATTCAGTGAGGAGATTGACAATGTACTTGCAAGAGTATACAGGGAAGGACTAGAGTCTCTTCATGGTTTGAATGACACTGCACTTTGCTTCAGACTCCTTCGACAAAATGGTTACAATGTGTCATCTGGTATAGATCGCCAAATTTCAAGTTAAATTTTACCAGTCAATCCAACTTATTTTCTTTTCATTTTCTTTTTTTTTCTAACACACAATTTCAATATTGGTTGGTCAAAACAGACGTGTTCAATAAATTCAGAGATGAGGAAGGATTTATGAAGTGCTTGGCTGATGATGCAAAGGGTTTATTGAGTTTATATGAAGCCGCCCATCTTGCAATTCCTGATGAGAATATACTAGACGAAGCTAAAGAATTTAGCACCGAGCACTTAAGAAAATTGTTGATAAAAGAAGACAAGAACTCAAGTATAGTTGAACTTATAAAGCAATCCCTTGAGGCTCCTCTACATTGTCTGATGCCAAGGATTGCAGCAAGGAATTATATTGATTTTTATGAGGAGGAGGAGAGAAAGAGCTCTTGTTTGCTTGAGTTAGCCAAGTTAGATTTCAATGTTGTTCAAGCCTTGCATCAAAAGGAGGTGAAAGAGTTATCAAGGTAATTAATTTACATCCCCTCAAAATTATTTTATTAGTATATGCACCTCCTAGATGGATATGAGGCGAACGTATTTTCTCGTGTCACGCGACAATAAATTACTCTTTTATCTTTTGATATATTTTCCCCTTGGCATGCTTTTAGATGGTGGGAAGATCTTGGTTTGGCAAAGAAGACTACATTTTTTAGAGATCGCTTATTTGAGAGCTACTTTTGGGCAAGTCAAATTGCACCCGAACCAAAGTTTTCAAAGTTTAGGATCATTAATACAAAGTTTGCCCTCATTGCAACTGTCGTGGATGATTTTTATGATCTTTATGGTTCTATAGAAGAAGCTAGAATCTTCACATCAGCAATTAGAAGGTGAGAAATACATTCCAACTTTTTTTTTTATAGATTTAATTCAATAGAGCAGAACTCAGTGTACTATGCCATAAGATAAACTAAAATATAACTATATCTAATCTCTTTCTTCTTCTTCTTGTTTTGTTTAGCTGGGATGTTAAGGCAATGGAAACACTTCCAGATGACTTGAAGATGTGCTATTTGTCATGGCTCAACTTTGCAAACGAGACGATGTATGATATCCTTAAGACTTATGGATGGGAGGCTGCACAAATCTTTAAACCAGAGGTACTAGTTACAATTCTAGAGTGTGACTCTTGTGTTAATCCTTTCATTTTAATGCCTTGGGAAGCTGGTGCAAATTAAGAACGAGTTAGCACCTTTTGAGGTACATGCTATATTAAGAATGGGAGGCCGCACTAACTCTTTGTAACCCCTCACTATTAAGAATGGGAGGCCGCACTACTTTTTAGATAGTGGAGAGGATCCGAATCCATATATTTAATCGGTGGCCAAACAACATGATATATAAGGACTGCTAAGTTTTACATATGTGTAATTATTTCCTCACTTTCTTCTTTCAGTGGGTATGTCTCTGTGAAAGTCACTTGAAACAAGCAGAATGGCTACATGAAGGATATACCCCTTCCCTTGAGGAGTACTTGCACAACGACCTGGTCTTTGGGGGCTTAACTATTCCAGTTCACGCCTACTACTTTGTCGAGGAGAACCTAACAGAAGAAACACTTGATTGGCGTAAGAAAGCATATCAAATTTCATATTTGTCTGCATTGATAGTTCGACTGACAGATGACTTAGCACCTTCTGAGGTACATGCTTATAAGATTTTTTTCTCAATAATTTCTCATATGCAGTTTGTGTAATTAATTTTGTACCCTATATATCATACTCTGATTTATTTATTTTTGAATAATTTGTTTTGTTACCCTCCTTCTGCAAGGAGATGGATTCGGCACGTCCACAGGCGAAACGATGAACCTGATCAAATCCTTGTACATTGAACCAATCCCTATGTATTAACGTATAATACATACATAGCTCAAGGTGGTACAATATTATTATCTGTATAAGTATCTCTACTTATATTATATAACTCCAAATAAAGTTTCTTGGGTTTGTCTCTTTAAGCTCCTTAGTACAGTGTGTGTTTGTTTGTATCATCATCAAATCGTGATCTGCGTTATTAGCTCTTGTTTCATATATATATACCCTTCAACGATCAAGTATTGCTTACAGATTTGAAATACTTTATATTCATTAAAAAACCTGATTTCTTGATAATCATAGTTGCATATTATTTTGTAGAAAGTGGCCAGTGAATTTCGCATGTAAACTATGTTAATTGGAAGACATAACCAGTATACAGCAGTGCAGCATCATTAATTTATAATGGTTGATAATACGTTTTTATTGGTAAGAAGCTAAGGTTAGATTTCATTCGTTACCAATGATGAGCAATATTTGCAGGCTCCACTCGCATAACTGTCAAATAAAAACGCTCAGACCTAACAGTACTACAGAACAACCCCCACACCCAAAAAAAGGAGGGTAAAAAAAAACACACAAAAGAAAAGAAAGAAAAAGGAAAAATGGTCCCTTAGCAGATATATACAAGATGTTACCCCTGAAATTGAATAAATTGTAAACACGCTCTCAGCTTTGAACTGATACTCAAACCTGTGTATAAGAGAGAACCCCAAAACCAAACCTCCAACAATTTGACAGAATGAAGAAACCGAAAATAACGAACAGCATCACTGTCTTCCATTATTATCTGTGTCAGGCAATCTGGAGAGAGTGCAAAGTTGAAACGTGTTGTGCAGCGGAAATTTCGGCGGAGATCTGGTGCACAATAAGAGAGAAAGATCAAAAAGAATTCCCGTCTCACCAAGGAAACAAGAATCTGAAGCGGATATCTCAACAAAGTGAGATATCGGCTCTTCCTCTCATCAGTTCTAGGACTGACCTGTCGAGGGATCCTAAAAACTATTACAATGGCCACAAACTCAAACAATCAATTTTTACGTGGTTCGGCAAACTGCCTACGTCCACGGGGCAAGGAGGGGGAGATCTACTATTAGAGAGAGAATACAAAAGGTTTACAATCTCACAAACTAAACCCTCAAACTAACTCTCTAATCTCTCACAAAAGCACAAAAGGATTACACAGAAAACTCCTCTCAAAGTCAGCTTTGATACAGCTGCTTTTCTCCTATGCGCGAATCCCCTTGCACCTAGCCGCCGCAATTCCCCTTTGCCTTAGCTCTGCAGCCGCCAAAAGTTCTCAGCACCCCCCTCAATTGCACGTCACATCCAATTCACAAAACGCACATATCTTTAATAACGACATCTTTCTTTTTTGACAATTGGTGGACCTCTTGTTTTCCAAATCACATATACGCTAGCTACTCTCGAGCAGCCCTTTTTAACCTCATCAATACATCTTTCTATGAAACCTTAAAGTCCCTCCAACAGTTAAAAAAAAGGGGTTTTTATCTTTAGGTCCATTTGTTTACTCCCATTTATCTTTAAACCCAAGTTCTATTATTTGTATTTTTAAGTCCAATTCACACCCTAGTTCCCCTTAGTTTACCCCTTAAGGTACCGTTTGACAAAAGGTTAAGTGAGGGGTTAAGGAGACTTAACCCCTTCTTAACCTGCCAAACACAACAAATCTATATAAAGGTTAAAGTGAGTTAACCCTCCATAATTTGTCAAACATAAAAAATATAGAAGGGTTAAGTTAACCCCTCTAGAGGGGTTAAAATGAGTTAACCCCTTAAAATGAGGGGTTTACTAATACTCCTATTTAGATGGAATAAGAGTTAACCCTTCTAATTATAAAAAAATAGTCAAAATCATTGTTATTCCCAAACACTAAAACTGATCATAAGGGCTAAAATAAAACTTATTTAACGAATTAATAATTTAGTCATTCGGATTATCAAATGGGCTAAGTACATTAATCCTTCTCTTTAACCCCTCTTCATTAACTCTTTGCCAAACGGGGCCTAATAGTATAAAATTTGTTACCCCCCAAATTGGGGTGTAACCAAGGGGAAGGGAACTCCCTTCCCTTCCCTTCTCTTCTCTTCTCTTCTCTCAGCTAGCTTCCCTTAATTTCCCTTAACCCCATTGAAATCCAAACACGTCCTTAGGAAAGGGAAGGAAGGGAAAGGAAGGGAAAAAATTCCCCTTCCTTTCCTTCCCCTCCATTACACCCCAATTTGGGGTGTAAGAATTTGGACCAAATTTTCCATTCATTCCCCTCTCCTAAATGAAACTCCCAAACAAGGTTAAAATAAAATTTCTCTTCCCTTTCCTCTCTCTACCCTCCATCCAAACAGGCCACTAAAGAAAATGAAAATATGTTTTACTTTTAGCAACCTTTTTTTTTATTTTAAAAAAACACTTTTAGCAAAATTTGTTAGAATATAAAAATATGACAATCAACTCTTGCGACAACTTAGGATTTTTTTTTAGGGTTTTTTATTTCTAGGCCCATTTGTTTACTTATCTTTACCTATAAACCCAATCATTAGGCAATCAATTCTTTTGATTCTTAAACGCCAATTTCATCTTTTGTTTTTTGTCTTAAACCCAATTCTCAATATACCTAATATTGTAAACACTTGTATTTATACACCAACATGATAAAAATCCCAATATCGCCCCTTTTCAATACCCTCTACATTAAACCCAGCCCACCTTCCCTTCTCCTCATTTTCCTTCTTCCTCAAGATCTTGTCTTCGCTCCTCCGATACCACCTCTGTACGCGCCGGCCAGTCGCCGAGAATCTTGCTGTTAGGGCGCGCTTTAGATGCAGGCGATGGAGCCGGAGGTGGGCAAGGAGACGCGGCTGCCGTGCGTGACGTGGCGGTTGTTTTGGCGGGCTGAGGAAAGTGAACAGAAGGAATGAGTGGGCGGTGAGTCGGGTTCGGGGAGAATGAAAGGTGGAGTCGCGTTGCGGTGCGAGGAGGCCCGAGGATAGCGTTTGAGGGAGGTCGTGAACGAGGTGGTGCTCGTGTGTGGGGGAAGGTGTTAGCGGCGAACCAATGGAATCTGGGACTGCGCGAGCTTGGACGGACGGTGAGGTGTGGAGGCACGTTGGCGTCACGAGGTGATGCGTCGTGGTCGAGTTGCCACGACACTGGAGAGCTTGGCCCGGTTCTGGAGCTTGTCTGAAATTTGTTGAATTTTGGAGTTTCCTTGAAAGATTGTCATTTTAGCAGTTGAATTTGTAACATATTGCTTTTGATTGTAAGGTTGAAAGTAGAAATGAAGTGTTGATAGTGCAATTTCGTATTGTAAATTTGGTGCAATTTTTGGATTTGTAAGACTGGAATTTTTGTCAATTTTGCAATTTTGAGTGCTATTTGAAATTTATGAGTGTTAACACTTACAGATAGACCCCTACACTTACAAAATGACCCGCCTACACTACAGTGATAACCTGTCGCACTACGATTAACGCCCGCTACACTACAGGATATACCCGCTACACATTACAGGAACCCGCTACACTTTTCAAGATAATTCGCCTACACTTACACCCATAACGCGCTTACCCTACAGTGTAAACCCGCTAATCATCTTACGAATAACGCCCTCCACTTACACGATAACTGCCCTACATACACGTAACCCCTACCGCTTAAGGTAACGCTGCATACACTTGACGGGATACCCGCTATCACTACACTAAACCCCTACAACTAAACCGAATATACCCGCTACCTAAGTGTAATCGCGCCACTTACAAGGCTATACCTCTGCTACTAATTGTAACTCGCTAACCTTCA